AGATTTCTGGCTCTCACAGACCTGTACCTTCTTCTTTAAGAGGCTCCTCTGTCCTGCACTCATTACCTGTATCAATGGCACCTGTTTGAACTTGTTATCAGTATAAAAGACACCTGTCCACAACCTACAACAGTGACACTCCAAACTCCACTATGGTGAAGACCAAAGATCTGTCGAAGGACAGCAGAAACAAAATTGTAGACCTGCACCAGGCTGGGAAGACTGAATCTGCAATAGGCAAGCAGCTTGGTGTGAACAAATCAACTGTGGGAGCAATAATTAGAAAATGGAAGACATACAAGACCACTGATAATCTCCCTCGATCTGGGGCTCCACGCAAGATCTCACCTCGTGGGGTCAAAATGATCACAAGAACGGTGAGCAAAAATCCCAGGACCACACGGGGGGACCTAGTGAATGACCTGCAGAGAGCTGGGACCAACGTAACAAAGGCTACCATCAGTAACTCACTACGCCACCAGGGGCTCAGATCCTGCAGTGCCAGATGTGTCCCCCTGCTTAAGCCAGTACACGTCCGGGCCCGTCTGAAGTTTGCTAGAGAGCATTTGGATGATCCAGAAGAGGACTGGGAGAATGTCATATGGTCAGATGAAACCAAAATAGAACTGTTGGGTAGAAACACAATTCATCGTGTTTGGAGGAGAGAGAATGCTGAGTTGCATCCAAAGAACACCATACCTACTGTGAAGCATGGGGGTGGCAACATCATGCTTTGGGGCTGTTTCTCCACAAAGGGACCAGGACGACTGATCCATGTACAGGACAGAATGAATGGGGCCATGTATCGTGAGATTTTGAATGCAAACCTCCTTCCATCAGCAAGGGCATTGAAGATGAAACGTGGCTGGGTCTTTCAACATGACGATGATCCCAAACATACCGCCCGGGCAACGAAGGAGTGGCTTCGTAAGAAGCATTTCAAGGTCCTGGAGTGGCCTAGCCAGTCTCCAGATCTCAACCCCATAGAAAACCTTTGGAGGGAGTTGAAAGTCCGTGTTGCCCAGCGAAAGCCCCAAAACATCACTGCTCTAGAGGAGATCTGCATGGAGGAATGGGCCAACATACCAGCAACAGTGTGTGCCAACCTTGTGAAGACTTCCAGGAAACGTCTGACCTCTGTCATTGCCAACAAAGGATATATAACAAAGTATTGAGATGAACTTTTCATATTGACCAAATACTTATTTTCCACCATAATTTGCAAATAAATTCTTTCCAAATCAGCCAATGTGATTGTCTGGATTTTTTTTCTCATTTTGCCTCTCATAGTTGAGGTCTACCTATGATGCCAATTACAGGCCTCTCTCATCTTTTTCAGTGGGAGAACTTGCACAATTGGTGGCTGACTAAATACTTTTTTGCCCCACTGTATGTAAAGGTTTATAAAAACTTTAATATTGATAAATCAATTAGGATGCAGCGCCGTCACTCCTAAAACTGTGAAAAAATAGAGTGGTGAGTATATGAATCCCACTTTAAAAAAAAAAAAAAAAAAAAAAACATTTTGATCTCTCAGAATGAAACCAAATGGATACATGAAATGGAGTCTCTAGCACCAGGAGGCCTTAATATAGATATAGAAATCAATTGTTTTATTTCTAATTATAAACCAATATAGATTTTATTTCAAGGTTTTGTCTGTATACCTGATCAAATAAGTGTATTTTTATGCATTATGACATGGCATTTTACAATATAATCATCATCTATTTGGTACATAGGATAGAAATTGAGGAGGATATATCTCACACTGTGTTTAAGTAACATCAATCCCGTTTTGAGGAGCTTTGATATACAGTTAGCAGTTTTGCCTTCAGCAAGTGAAATGCACGCTCAGTTGGGTTGAGATCAGGTGATTTACTCGGCCATTGCAGAATATTCCACTTCTTTTCCTTCAAAAGCTTCTGGGTTGCTTTTGCAGTGCGTTTTGGATCATTGTTCATCTGTACTGTGAAACGCCGTCCAATCAACTTTGCCGCATTTTTCTGAATCTGGACTGACAGTATATCTCTAAACACTGCATAATTAATCCAGCTGCTTCTGTCACATCAATAAACACCAATGACCCAGTGCCACTGGAAGCCATGCATGCCCATGCCATCACACTGTCTTCACCATGTTGTACAGATGACGTTGTGTGATTTGGATCATGAGCTGTTTCAAGCCTTCTCCATACTTTTTTCTTCCCGTGATTCTGGTACAGGTTAATCTTAGTTTCATCCGTCCAAAGAATGCTTTTCCAGAACTGGTCTGGCTTTTTTAGATGTTTTTTGGCAAAGTCTAATCTGGCTTTTCTATTCTTCAGGCTTATGAATGGTTTGCACCTTGTGGTGAAAGTCTTCTCTTGATTGTAGACTTTGACAATGATATGCCCACCTCCTGGAGAGTGTCCTTCCCTTGTCTGGATGTTGTGAATGGGTTTTTCTTTACCATAGAGAGGATCCTGCGATCATCCACCAGTGTTGTCTTCTGTGGTCGTACATGCCTTTTTATGTTGCTGAGCTCATCAGTGCATTCTCCTTTCCTCTGAATGTTCCAAACTGTTGATTTGGCTACTCCTAATGTTGCTGCTATCTCTCTGAAGGATTGGTTTCATTTCTGAAGCCTTACAATGGCCTGTTTCACTTGCTTGGACAGCTCCTTTGAACGCATGATGTAGGTTCACAGCAATGGATTCCAAATGCAAACACCACACTTAGAATCAACTCCAGACCTTTTACCTGCTTAATTGATGAAGAAATAATGAAGGGGTAGCCCACATCTGGCCATAAAACAGCTTTTGATTCAATTGTCGAATTACTTTTGGTCCCTTGAAAAAGGGGGGGGCGATGGCTACTTTTAAGAGCTGTAATTCCTAAACCCTACCTCCAATGTGGATGTTCATGCCCTCAAATTAAACCTGAGAGTGTGCACTTTCAGCCCATCTCCATTATAGGACTATAGCTTGAATATGTTTTGGTAAATACCTGAAAAAAAAAAAACTAAAATTGTGCCTGTGTCCAAATATATATGGACTTCACTGTATAGAAGATAGATTTGGTATCAGTCCACACTACAGGGCTATAGTACTATGGCCCTTTACTTAAATAACTAATAGGTCAAGGAATTATTAATTTAAACCAATCCCTTTTTAAATTTTTTTCCAGCATAACGTTATTATGTAGATGTGGCAAATAGGAGATTAATCATGCCAATATTATATTGTAAAGAGCACGGATCAGGATTCCAGTAATATGGCTCACTACCTGAATATAGGATCATATTTTAGCAAATTCTTTGAACATTTGCTTTCTTCCCATATGATTTCATATATATGGAAAACAGGAGGACACTGTGTTTACATCATACTACAGTTTTGTTAATTAAGATACACTGATCAGGACTAACATGGCCTGCTGATCCAAACAGTGAACATAGGAGCTTCTAAAGTTCGGATCACTACATTATGGCGCCTGCCAGGAAATGCTAAGCACTGCTAGGTTACCAGATGGTATATATAGAATCAAGTGGGGCAATATGGCACCGCTCCTGATGATGTCACTATGACAAAATGCGTTGGGATAATTGCATCACTGCTGGTTCGTATGAGGGTGAATGTGCAGCACAATGGCATTTCAGGATACATTGTTTTAAAGTGCCATCTACATGGAAATGATGTAAGTGCAATTTTATGTGATTTTACCCAAATAAAATAGTATAACGTTATGCTAGTTTCCCTTTGATTATTCCTACTGCATATCTCTGTGATGGAGGAGGACAAGTGATCATCTGTATATTGGAAGGTCTCCTTCTGTCGGGAGGATCCTAATAGAGTTGATAATCATCTTAGCGGCTCACAGGAGGCTAATCCATTGCAGGGGCTTGAGGAAGGAAAACACCCAGAAGCGCTTTTTGAGTGCATAGGGGGTCAATACACTGTGGTGAGTGAAGTTCTGGAGGGGGAGCAGGAGAGTTAGCACGAATCACAAATTACCTGCTACGGTCACCAGCTATATCACCAAGTCACCATTGTATTTAAGATATGGAAGGTGTTTTGTAGTACCGGGACTTTATAAAAATGAACAGAAACATTTATTGGATGGCTATATATTGACCTTTTCAGCACAAAAGTGTGTTGCAACAGGGGAAGGCGTTTTGTAGTCCCTTCAATATTTACATTTTTGTTTTATAGGCATTTTTTCATTATATGATTTATGTTTTTTTCACAGAGTATTATATTTGAAGAGGGAGGTGCATTGTAACACAATACATCATAAAGTATTGTTTAGGTATCCCCATTGAGGAGAGAGGTGCATTGTAGCCCGGAACACATATTGTTATTTATGTTCATTTTTAGAGCTGTGACTACACATTTATTCATCGAGGAGGGCGGTGTATTGTAGCACGATACACTTATTTAAGTATGCATATTTTAAAGTGGGATTCATATACCTCACTTATCACTCTAACAATTTTTTCACAGTTTTAGGAGTGGCAGCGCAGCATCCTAATTGATTTATTACCACACTCACTTGTGTTAGTTGCTAGCAAAAGCCTACAGACCCCAATCTCCCCCTTGCGCAGGGTTTCTCAAATATTAAACTTTAATGTTGATGTCTTGTCACAGGTACACTTTAAAAAGGTATAACAAAATATCAAACAAAATAAAAAACAAAAAACAAAAGAAAACAATTGGGCAAAGTCCTACCTTGATCGATGTAGGCTTGGGCTGGGTCTTTCAGTACAGCAGCATATTTGTGTAAAAGGTTGACCATTACCTCCAGAAGTCCCACTTCTTTGAAAACATCTTTAAAGATGTGATGGTGTCTTATAAACTTAAGAAGTGTCTTAGTAGCTATGATACTGCAGGAGAACGAAGTGTTGGACTTTAAAAGAATGCTGACACTGATCAATTCTTTGCAAGGAATATAGTTCAAGCTGAATACCAAAAATTCGAGCATCTCAAAGTATTTCACCTGCACATCAGGCAACTTGGTAATCTTCTCTGCAAATTGGGAAAGTGTATGCTGAGGCTCCAGGATAAAGTAATTGGCATTGTCTGACATATAAATATTGGTGATGGCATCCAGTATAATCTGTGCAAGGTAGCAGGTCTTTGCTTTAAGAAATGCATTTTGTAGAACTGAGAAGGCTTGGATATTCCTCACACTCAAACCTGCAACCAAACAAACAAGTAACCTCAAAACCTTGATAAGAAAAATTCTAGTTTGGAAACATTTAAGACTGAACTGCTTCATACTAAGATAAACATTTGGTATATGCAGGCCACAAAAAAAATTCATTATGTCTTTTATTGTTGCTACCTGGTCCCTTATTTTTGTTACTTCAATACATACACAATTCTAACCTGCTACTCATCTGCCAGATGGATATTGAAGTCAACCAACTTTTTTACTGAGCCCTCATGCACATCTAAGCCCTCATGCACACTTGACCTTTTTACAGCTGTTTTTGGCTTTTGCCGTTTTTTCTACAGCCAGTAAACCCCCTAGCATGTTATCCTGTGTCCAAGTACACACAGACTGTAATCAACATTTTTTGGCTGCAAAAAAACATCAGGACTAGTGGGATTCTAGAGGAGTTTTTTAGCTGTAAAAACACTAACGCTGAAAAACGAAAAAAGAAAAAAAAATGTGGCAAAACGCTGCAAACCGGTGTTTTTGGACGGGTTTAAAAAAAAAAAAAAAAAAAACAAGAAAAAAAAAAAAACGCTAAAAACCCAAAAGGCGGATAAAACGCCGCTAAACGTGAATGCAAAAAAAAGCTGAAAAACTCAGGTTTTTAACGTGAATTTACACAGCTAACGTTACCAGCATTATCAAAACATCAAGTGTGCATGAGGACTAAAGCTGACCACAGATGTAGTGGAGCAATACTCCTCGCCGGGACATTGTATTCTGACAGCTGGACCCAGCACTGATTAGCAGCTGCATCCCCTGATTGACAAACGTTTTCCAACTTGTCCTAGGTGATGAGGATGCTCATCCCATCCCCTCCTCACCTGCAACTTCCTGGGGCACACCACACGTCCGAGGAGACTGCAGGACCAGTCCCTCTGGGCCACGTGATCTTGTGCATGTGCAGTAGGGAGCTGGCTGCGATTCATAAGGAAGTCACAACTGACTACCCAAGTCAAGATGACAGCATTAGGGACCAACAGCAGTGAGAAGAATCTGCTGCTGGAAGAAAGCGTTGGAGTCCATGGACTGGTAAGTGCCTGATTTTTAAAAGTCAGCAGCTACAGTATTTAATAGCTGCTGACTTTAAATTAAAAAAAAAAAAAAAAAAAAAAAAAAAAAACACAAAACATTTTAAAGTTCCTCTTTAAACAAAAAGTCTAAAATGTAGAAAATAGCAGAAACTGGATGACTATCAATGAAGAAAAAAACCCACCAAAGTGAGATGTAAGGGAAATTAGTATGAACATTACACTATGCAGTACAGCTTTTGCCTCTTCATAAACACATCTCTAATTGTACTTTTATCCATTATCAACTTGGCACCAGGTTTCCACGTAGCTCAAAGTTATTTCCGTAGTACAAAATGCAAGGCTTTTATAATTTGGATAAAATGTAAATGTACCTCGAATGGAAAGCAACTTACCTTTTCCGGCAGGCTGCGGGACAGTAAAGCCTGGCAATAAAAAAGGTGCCCCTGTAGTTAAACCAGCTGGTTTCAGTTCATTGACACCATATGTTGTTAAAGAAGTAATTAGGTTAACCAAGTCTTTCAACGCATCTTTGGATTCGTTCTCTTTAGCTTGCTCTAGCCTACAGGGAAGACAACATTACATTTTTCCTTAGTGCTGTATGCATCCAATTCTAGCTAAATATAGATCATAATATTACTGATCAGCAATGAAAGACATATGGCGCCTGGGGAAAATATACATACACGTTTATAGTCATACTTTTCAGTCTACACAAACATGTTCAAATGTCTGTGCTTCCGACATTTAAACAGTAACTTTATAAAACAATTTGATTGAAAAAATAGTACGCAAGGTTAGCGATCTCTCAAAATAATATTTGAGACTATAGCATACTTTAAATACAGCATTTAATTTGCTCAACATTTGTAGTTTTAAATGTTCACTGACTGTGAGGTATGGGTTTTGATTCTCAAGGCCAAGTACTTTGCTCCCACCACTACATGCTCTATAAATGCAAAATGCAGCAAACATTAAAAATACAAACCTACAGTGAAAAAAAGCCAATGTGTACAAGACCTATAGCAAAGTTAAAGTTATATTAATTAATTTTCTTTTAAATAACAAACAAGTCATACTTACATGCTCTGTGCATTGGTCCCTTCCTCCTACCTAGTGCCCCCCAGAGCAAGCAGCGTGCTATGGGGGCACCTAAGTAGGCTTGCTCCCGAGCCTCTGCTCTGCGTGTGGATGCAAACAAAAACTCGGCTCGGCCCCACCCCCTCTCTCTCATTGGCTTTCTGGCTATAACTGACAGCAGCCAGAGCCAATTGCTCTGGCTGCTGTCTCAACCAATGAGGAGGGAGGATCCCCGGAGAGCCAAGGCTCTTGTGCTCTTCACTTGATCACGATGGGGCTCATAAGTATTAGGGGGGCTGCGGCACACAGAAGTTTTTTACCTCCATGCAACCACTTTAACACCACATTGAAAAATGCATTACTTGTTAACCTACATTTCTTTTGGATGCTTTTTAGACCTGTTATAGACACTATTTACATGCATTCTGAATAATCCCATACAATTGACATGAAGGGGAAAATGCATGTCAATAGAGCAAAAAAAAAAAAAAAAAAATGAAACAAGAATACATTTTGCTGATGCACAACAGAATTCTGTATAAAATATGTCAAAGAACCATTTATACACATTGAACTTTAAAGCTGAACTACAGTCAGACCTATAAAACACAAACAGTAGAAGGACAGTCATCACAAGTAAAATTTGCTGCATTGCACAATTGATCATAAGAGAGATGCCGACAGGATGAGAGAGAAGCGAGTTAATCTCATCAATGTGGTGTGGCTCCTTCACAGATGGGTAGCTTCTAGACCAGTTTATATTGCTCAACTGCAGTGTAGTTTGCAGAGAGATCTCAGGGAGTGCATAAGGGGCTGTGCAGACTAGGCTTTGGGATTGTGTCCATGGCATAAGACTAGCACACTTTTGAAATCATTCAGAATACACTGACACATGCATTAGAGCTCACCTTCTTCTAGCCTGTATTTGACTTGATTAAAAGGATTTTCTTAAATTCCCATAGACTTGTATGGGAATGCAAAACCCCTTTTCAAAGCATACAAAAGACCAACATAGGCACAAACCTGGCTGTGCTGTCAGGTAAACAGAATTACAGATTCAGCTTTTCATATAAATGTCTTTCAGCTTTTTTTAATCCTGGAGTTCAGTCTTAAGAAGAACTGCTTTTTTTTATAAGATCACACAAGAAAATACAGTTGGTGTGAACACACCCTAAGGGGGATCAACTTGACACCATATTTCTATTTTAAAATGTTTTCACTATATGGTTACAACAATGTAAGAATACATGTAAATGTGTCATTTAAATCTCTGTAGGAACATCTTCAGTTAAAGTGGAACCCCACCCTCTCAGTCAACATTGACTATTTTTAATCCTTATGCTGCTAGAATTGGTAAATAGATAGGAAAGTATATATCATATTTACTTGTTTTAAACTTTTTTTTTTACATTTTTAAAAAAGTTACTTCATCGTTTTCATGCCTAGGTAAATTTATGTCATCCCAGGAGTCTTCAAGAGGGGGGGAGGGGGTTTTCTTTGCAAAAGCACACCCTCCTGCTTTCATGCCTGAGCTAATGGGAGATGGATTCTAGGAAGTAAATTCTACATGAATCTTCTGCCCTTACTCAAGATGGCCACAGCCAAACATGCTAGGGGATGTTTTTCAACGTGCTTTCTCAGCAAAATAAAGTATGGAGATGCCCTTCAGGCATCCCATGCTGAGTGTCAGAGGTAGAAGAGGAAGGAAATTGGTGGGGTTTTGAAATACCTGTCACTTTCTTTTCTCTCCTTTCAGTGATGATAGTTCAAGCTAGATGGCATCTGATTGGTCAGCAGCTTACCAGGCTCCCTGATCTTTCGGGAGAGCCCGGTAAAAGGCAGTGGCAGTAGGGGAGTAGGACCCCCTTTTCGCTGCTTGTAAAAAGTAATCCAGTGGCTCCTTGGCATGCAGGATTCTTTTATGGTGAAGGGAATTACGGGTAGAAGAAAATGATATCTCAATCGTTGCTACAGCTTCACAACTATCACCTTTCCAATCCAGCAATGTACTGGTACATCGCTGATTGTGAAGTGGTTAAAGACCCTATAAAAGTAGAGAAAAATACCTGCTGATCTACCAGAAATACACCCAGCCCCTAATTTTGTTCTGATACCACATGCCTACTCCTAGACTAAACTAGCAAGAAATAATGCCAGTCCTGCCAGGTTTTCTGTTATTAACCTACTGAAACCCCCCACATCCTCATCTCAACATATGATTCTGAAGTACAAGATAAAAACTGGGGGGGGACTCATAGAGATAACATAGGAAGTATTCACAAGACAGATCTAAATTTCAGACATGATCAAGAAGCATTTGTCTGCTTATCAAGCAGATGCAAAAATCACTTTCAATAGTATGTTTGACAGACCAAAAGGGAGCAAATAAGAAAAGTATATTGTTAATGTTTACATACACTTCATAGAAAAACTATTTCAAGCCTGAAAATTCAAACAAAGCAGATTATGAAAAAAACTACAAAAGAAAAAGGTTACCGTCCGTGAAAACCACATAGTGGGAAAGAGCAGTAGAGCCAATGGTATAGACAGCTGAAGTTACAATATATGGCCAAAAGTTTACATGACACCTATATGAGCTTGTTGGATGTCCCATTCTAACTCCACTTATCAATGCACATATTTGCCAGTACATTAAGCACATCCATTCCAACTCCAAGTACAGAAAATCACACACAGCCAAAAAATCTCCATTTACAAAACTTTAAAATACAAAGCCATTCCATACACTTGTGCTTCCAACCTTGTGGTCACAGTGTAGGAAAGACCCTTTTTTATTCTACCATGGAGGAACTCGAGGGAGTGGTCTGCACGCACACTTGACTTCAACCCTACTGAATACCTTTGGGATGAATTGGAACACTGGCTGTGAGCCATGCCTTCTTGTCCATCGTACCTGACCACAAATTTCTAAAGACACACTCCAAAATCTTGTGGAAAGCCTTTCTAAAAAGGATGGGGGTGTTATAACAGCAAAGGAGAGAGGGGGCATCCTTATATTAATCCCAAAGGTTTTAGAATGGGATGCCCTACAGGCTCATATATATGATATAGGCAGGTATTCACTTTTGCCCATACAGTATAAAACTCTCCCCTCTGGCTCCTATTTACAATATAAAAACCTAACCACATAGAAAATGAATGTTATGCAAGAAATATCACCTATTTTGTGCAAAATAAGGGGCATGATAAAACCTACATCAAATGAAATGATCAGACTCCCTGTGGGTCTCAGGTTTTTACCACAACATACAATTAGTTGTCTGCTATGTGAAATGTAAAGACTGGCAGCTGTACAAAGACAGAATGACCTTAGCATTTACTCACAGTCATATCCAGTTGCTATTTCCTGTCCCATTATTTTCCATCCCAGGTAAAACATTTTGAGGTTAGCAAAGGCTTAGAAAAAATAACCTCAGGACATCAATAATATTAGACTGTTTACAGAGACTGAACCATCCGTTACAGACAAAATTGGATCTGCATAGTGCTGAACTGGGAATAAGCTGTCTGATTTAAATAGTAAAGTAGCTCACACTAGGGCAGGCCATAGATGATGCGATTTTCAGCCTGCCCATTGATGGATTGAATCTCGGCCAGTCCCTGTTGAACCGGCCGAGATTCGATCCATCTATGGCCGGCTTTAGTTATTAACTTTGTTAAATGCATTAGAGTTTCTTATCCATACAAAAGTTTCCTGCTTGCTTTGTGAATTCAAATTTAACTTCTAATGATCAATACAAACAGCTGAACCATTTTAATTACTTACATGTGCCCTGACACATGCACATTTTAAATGTAAACATAACCTAACAAAGATGAGAGTATTGCAGTTATTACAGATGCTAAGGACCATAATTGTAGGTTTTTCTCAAAACTATATATGTCCTTAAAAATTTGTCCTTGAAGACATCTCAGCATTTCTGGTGTTACATGGCCCTTACAAGCCTATACAGGAAAGCTTATTAACTTAAACACATAAGCCTTCTGGCATTTGCCATATTTGCCAAAATGCCAGCGTAGACCTGGATCTATTTTTTTTTTTTTTCTTTCAAACATAGCTAGGCAACACTTCTTGAGGCTGGATGGGAGCCTTTTCTGTCAGGATTCATTTCTCTCTATTATCTTACTAGATACCCTGTCTTTAGGATAAACTATGCTTTAGGGGAAATGGTCAAGAAAGCTTCAGAAATAGATTTAAAAAAAAAAAGTATTATTCAAAAAAGTGTTTATTTAATTCACAAGCTAAGTATTATAGCAAAGAGATCACCAGATCAAAGACATTTAAAAACCCCTAATTTGAATTGGATAGCCCATGCTGATCTCTATTCTATGCACCAGAGACAAAATCTATAAAATTTTGGCAAAAACGATGCAGTGGAATCATAGGCACTATAAGTATATTGTTCAAGATTGCTTCTATGTGCCTTCAAAGAATTTCAAAGGTTTAAAAGAAACAAAACC